ACAAAGGAAAAGAATTTTTAACTAAACAGAACCGGATGGATTACCTCCGACAAACCAATTTTTCCTCCAAAAAGAGTTTAAAAAGAGTCAAGGCACAATAAAAAATACACAAGTGATGGCCTGGAGAAAGATGAGCAGAATCACATGCTTTTTCTGCCACACACACAAAACCAGAGAAGAATAAAAGAGAGAAGACTGAAAACCAGCAAAATGTTATTCAGACCCTGGAACACAGTGGCACTAGGCTTCAAGGAGACAAAGTCTGACAGATTCAAAGAGCCTCAGTAGCTGTTTGAATGTCTTACGAGCTCAGCCAAGTCCTTCTCAACTCAAGGCTCACAAACACGCAGAACAAGACAGTCGACCCTGGCCTGGAAAAGTCTGCCCTGCTGCATTTTCCTTCCAGAGCATCAGAGCCACACACCTGATTTCCTCTCTTTTGGGTGACCAAATTAGGACCTTTTGGAGCAGCTGCCTGGATCCCCGGGACCTGAGTCGATCCTCAATATATCCTGGCACCGTGAGCACATCTTGTGCCAGACTCTGTGCCCTGGAGCACGAGACTGTAAAGCAGCGTGCTTGCGTGTCTATGGAAACACATCAAATATCAACTCCATAAAGCTTCCTAATGCAAAGTAGCCTGCATTACACAGATGAGATAGAGGTGTTTTAATGTTTATCGGGATCCAGATATTTCTGAGCCTCGGTTTCCTCACTGTTCTTTAGGTTTCTAATTGGCGTTCTCAGTGCACTACAAAATTAGCTGAAGACAGTCCGTCTCCCTTCTCCAATATCCAATTCCCTTTTGCACGTGAAGTACCTTCTCCTTCACTCTTAAAAAGCATCATTCAGTAGTGAAGACCCTTTACATCAACTGAGCTTCTGCTCAGTTTCCACCTCACTAGTGTAAACTGGCTCTCCCGCACAGTAGTGGGTCTCTGAAAGGGCTTTTCCTTTTCCACCTAGAAACGACCCTGTGCCACCACTTGTTAAAGCGTCACTGTGAAATACAGTAACACCACAATATTGCCGTACAACAACGATGGGGAAAGCAGGTTAGCCTTACAATCAAAACATAATCTGTAGATGAGGAATTTCAGAATCAAAATTACGAAAATATATAGAGAGAGAGAGCTCACAAACGATGTATAACAGCCCCCTGCAGCACCATAAATGCCGGCTGAAGGATTCCTCGCGCTATCACATACGCTCCTTCAATACGCATTGCGTTGCATTGAACACTAAATCTCTGTTAAGGTCACAGCAGCACCGAGCCTTTAATGCATAGTATCGTTTCCGATTCTGGCATAAGCGCTTGCATTCTCTTTAAATAGCAACTCTAGCATCTGCAAAGTGCACTGGATCCTCAGGCAATGTTGTGATTTTCATTCCTTTTTACCATGACACCGAGGGCTAACAATCTCTCA